CCCCCCGTTATCAGAAGGAACATATGAAAGACCAGACGTAACTGGTGAGAATTCGCACAACCATACATGCACAAGAATCAGAAATATTGATATAGAGGATAGAGCCCCTTTTTCGTCCACTATTAAACTGTTGTCAAGATGAGAAACATACCAAGTACAAGAAAATAAAATCTAAAATTACACCACTTCCCAGGAGTTTATACCAAGCCCTCAACCAAAAAAAAGTGAAAGGCGAACATGGTACCCAATTGCGCCCAAGGGCGTTGGTGCAACGGTATAGGTAGTACATCATGGGATGCGTCGCAGGCGCACCTCACAGGTCCGATTCTTGTTTGAAAAAAAAAAAATTATGCAATTTAAGTGTTGAAGGGGTAGGGAACCGACCCATTATCCAACGAGTTTCGAAGCTGTAAACAGTGGATTCTCGGTTATCACCAAACAAAAAAAAAACCACATTGTACCCAGTTGCAGAACGTTGCAATGAACATGAGTTTCCATCATCAACTATCTATATCGCAATCCCATGTCAAGCTCGTGGCCGTGCATCCCCTGGACATTGCCAGCAGCAAAAGGGTGGATCTGCTTAGAAGCCCCAAGTTGCCTCTCAACAAGCCTTTGCATGGCCTCAGGATGAATGTTTCTGGTGTTGATATCTGGAGCTGGAGTGAAACAAATAATAATTTTAATGCATAAACTCACCCAACTAGTTAAATATCAGCAGAGGATGCATCCTCAACCAGAAGAGTTTCAGTGTATACACCAATAAAAGGAAGAAGAGCACAAAGGCCTATTTAGAATAAATGATAAGCACGTCATTACTAATTTTTACTAGTTTCTCAGGGTTATTAACAATCAACAGCAAAAATCTCAAGACGTACCATCAAAAGGGTACTGGGGTGGGGAAGAGCATACTTCACTAGCTCAAGCCTCAAAGGGCCAAATTCACAAGCAAAAAGGGGAATATAAATTTCGCCTTCTTGCTTTCAGGTAAATAAATTTACTAACCTCCACAATTATGAGGAAAAACTAAAGCTGATAACAGAATATACAACATCCGCTCATGCTTAATCTTCATTTCGACTTGATATCACTCAAAACTTCACAGGACGTAGTCATAGAAAGATGAACCCCAGCATCCCATTGTAATTATAAAATGTAGTTTCATTATTACGTGCATGGTCACAGTAACAATACAGTCAAATTTAGAACTGCAGAATTGCTGCATCAATGAGGGTCAGGAAAGAGTATAAATAAAGATGTTTTTCTTACATTATCAGGACAGCAAAACTAAGGAACAAATAAAGACAATAGTAGAGATGAAATCTATGTTTTAAATCAGCAAGATCAGCAAAGGGCAACTTCATTTTGAGGTGTAGTCCAGAAAGAAAGATGCAAGTGCTATCTTACATCGGCAAAACTAAGGAAAAAGTAGAAGACTTAGTAGAGATGAAATTTATGCATTAAATTCAGCAAGATCAAATAGAGAGCAACATTTTGAGGTGTAATCAGTAAAATATCATCACACAGACACCTGCAGAGACAACACATTCGGGCTTTTTACCTGGCATTTGCACAGTTTGTCCACTAATGTTGACTTGGTGTGGCGCAAAAGGGAATGCTTGAATTCTGTTAACTTCCTGCATAATGCTAGCTGCTTGATTACTGAGATGTGAAAGAACCTGTGCACCCCTTAGACGGTCATGTAGCAGACGAGGAGGGCTATTTCCAGCCATCTGCATCTGCTGCAGCATAGGATGGTGAACAGGGAGATCAAACCCTGTCAGTCCACCATTAGGGTGGTGAAATGGAGGTCGCATCATATTTCCAGCAAACTGACGACCAGGAGCTTCATGTAGAGCCATGCTTTCTGGACCATTGAAAATCTGAGGATTTAAATGAGCAGGACCAGAATCCATAGGATGAAACACGGCTTCCCTTGCTCATCTGCAAGGGATGAAAATTGCGAAAGTTGATGGTTGAGCACGAATATGGTGCAATGGGCATTTTCACGACTCCCATCTGTATCAATAGGGAAAACCCGAGTCGGGGGAAGGGACGAGACCCGTTTCACCTCACGTCAAAAACGGCCCTTTACCCCATC